CACGTCTTTTTGATTTAGTGAAGGTTCAGGATGAAAGAATGAAGCTTGCTTTCTTTGCAGCACTTAGAAACACTGTGGTTGCTAAGGATCTTGACCAGGTCAGTTGTACTTTCTTAGCAGGGAACTCTATGCTGATGATAGATATTTGGGGATTCATCATTATGGTATTTTTCAGATATGAAAATAATGGCCTGGGTTTAGATTTTACAATTGTCTGATAAGCAACATTTGTTGATATGGATTTGTTTTGAACTTTTGATGCATATAACATAATGCTTATCACCTGGATTGTTTAAGCAAAGTAATTAAATTATGAGGCTTAACATGTTTACCATCTGGTTGCAAAAATATAAAGTCCAGGTTTGTTGTACTTGCATATGAACATATTAATGAAGTTAAATGGTTAAGTAGCAACATTTTTTTTCACTCCTGTAAACTTTAGGCAACACGCATAGCATATGGTGGAAACAATGAGTTTCGTCGAGTTGTTACACTTGATGGTGCACTCTTTGAAAAATCTGGAACAATGAGTGGTGGGGGTAGTAAGCCCCGTGGCGGGAAGATGGGGACATCTGTTCGAATTACTAGTGTGTCTGTAGAAAGTGTTGCAAATGCTGAGAAAGAGTTGTCTGAGTTGACTGATAAATTGAATGACATTCGCCAAAGAATTGTGGATGCTGTTCGACGTTATCAGGCCTCAGAAAAATCTGTTGCCGCGTTGGAAATGGAGTTAGCTAAAAGTCAAAAGGAGGTAAATGCTTAGTTTTGAGTCCGAGAAGATAGTTTTCTTGGAGTTGTTGATGCAGGGTATTGAGGCTTTTTTCCCCCTTCCTCTACAGGTTGATAGTTTAAATTCACAATATAATTATATTGAAAAACAACTTGATTCCCTTGAGGCTGCATCAAAGCCACAGGAGGATGAGATTGACAGATTGGAAGAGCTGAAGAAGATTATTTCTGCTGAAGAAAGGGAGCTTGATAGACTTACTAATGGTTCAAAACAACTGAAGGAAAAGGTTGGCCTGAAAGTTCCTTTTCTTTTATTTCCTTCACAAAATTAGGGATGCTTGACTGGTCTTGCATTTTTTTTTATTTCTTGAGGTGGCTGGATGTTGAAGATAAAGGTTATATATCTATATAGAGCTGCAGATAGCATTATTGATGTTTATCATGTGCAGGCATTGGAGCTTCAGAGAAATATAGAAAATGCTGGGGGTGAAAAATTGAAATCTCAGAAGTCAAAGGTCCAGAAAATTCAGTCTGTAAGCACCTTGTACATGAAGGACTTTTAATTTAACTTTATAGTGTGCATGTACTAATGGTTACTATTTACTAGGATGTTGAGAAGAACAATTCAGAGATTAACCGCCACAAGGTTCAAATAGAGACGGGACAAAAAACGGTGAAAAAGTTGGCTAAAGGAATTGATGAGTCCAAGAAGGAGAAAGACCGTCTTACTGGGGAAAAGGAGAAGATAAAGGCAGTCTTCAAAGAAATAGAGCAGAAAGCATTTGTAGTTCAAGAAAATTATAAGAAAACACAAGAGGTTCTTTCTATTGACCTGTTTTTTGGTTATATAAAATTTGTTCCTACGTAATGAAATGCATTAAATGCACCTTTTTAAAGTTGTGTTTACATTTTACAGTTTGATTGTTGTATGGTCGTGTCTAATTTTTTTTTTTTACTGCATAGATGATTGACAAACATATGATTGTCTTGGAGGAAGCAAAATCCGAGTACAATAAGATGAAAAAAACAGTGGATGAATTGCGTGCATCTGAGGTACTAGTGTGTGTATTTTACACCTCTACAACATGTAGTTTCCTTATTACAATCATTATTTTGCAGGTTGATGCTGACTTTAAATTAAAAGACATGAAGCAAGCATACAAGGAATTGGAAATGAAGGGGAAAGGTTACAAGAAAAGACTAGATGAGTTGCAAACTGCTATTCACAAGCATCTTGAACAGTATGTCATTTGATAATTTTTGGGATAGTGTTTATCATTATGAAGTTCTTAATAAAATTGTAAATGGGATGTAGGATTCAGGTAGATTTAGTGGATCACGAAAAGCTACAGGCTACATTGGCGAATGAACATCTTAATGCTGCTTGTGACCTGAAAAGGGCGTGCGAAATGGTTGTGTTGTTTGAAGCACAACTGAAGGAGATGAATCCAAATCTTGATTCCATTTCAGAGTATGAGTTTTTCCGATTTACTACCCTAACTATTCTTTAATTTTTTTTATGTTAGTGATAAAGTTTTGCTATTTCTTATGATTATCAGATATCGAAAGAAGGTATCTTTGTATAATGAGAGAGTTGAAGAACTTAATGCAGTCACTCAGGAGAGGGATGACGTAAAGAAGCAGTATGATGATTGGAGAAAGAAGAGGTGTTCATAATATTTTGTTTTTACCATTGAATTGATTTTATTACTTGCTTTCTGAATGATGTTTGTGGAATGTGTTTTGTCAGATTGGACGAGTTTATGGAAGGATTTAATGCTATATCTTTAAAGTTAAAGGAAATGTACCAGGTTTGAGAATCTGCTCTCGCTCCCCTCTATTGGTGACAAACACACATGGGACTGTGCTTCACTCTCCATAATCATTTACTGAGCTTTTAACTTGTTATAGAATCTATCACTTTTCTTAAGCCCTTCAGACCAGCCCGCTTGCAACTTTGCACGACTTTGGATGCCAAATTGCCCATAAATATTTTCATTTCTGGTCATAACCTGATGCTGAACCCAAAAAAAATTGATTTAAATGCAGTATGTAGACAGTTATGTAAATTTTTAAGGGTATAATTCACTATGGATGGATTATTACTCTACATTTACTTGCTTAAGAGTGAGTTTAAATAATACTAGCAAAAACTAGTTTGTGGCGGCAATGTACATGCCTTCTGAAGACATGTTAGCTCATGCTCGTTGCGCCTTCTAGAACACGGGCATTTTCATCAGTTTGTGTGTAAAACCACTGAAAAATGCCTCTCAACGATGTTGGGTTGCTCAGGAGCTTCTGTCCTAGCTGTTGCCATTCATTTCCTTTTCGTGCATCTTTAGAATGGGTCCTTCCATTGCCTCCTCTTTTTTACAGCAATACTTAATTTTCTTTATTTTGCTTAAGTAAGAATAGTTCATAACATAAAATAGAAATAAGGCGACATTTTTCTATTTATTTACGAAAGTAGGAAATTAAAAACAAAAAAACTTTTCTCAATCTAATTTGGCCCAATTTCAGCAGTTTTTGTCAACTTGTTCCATAGGCTTGTAATCATTTTACATGCGTAATAATTATCGTTTGCAGATGATTACTCTTGGAGGTGATGCAGAACTCGAGCTTGTGGATTCTTTGGATCCTTTCTCTGAAGGTGTCGTGTTCAGTGTTAGACCACCAAAGAAAAGTTGGAAAAATATTGCAAATTTATCGGGTGGTGAAAAGGTTATCTCAGCCTTTTCCTTTGCATGAGCGTGATGCATCGTGTGCTAATTTTTTTTAAAGCAGGAAATGTAAAAATGCCTTCATGGTCACTCACCTTTTTCCGCTTTCAAATTTAGTTATAGTTATTTGTTTTGCAGACTCTTAGCTCATTGGCTCTTGTATTCGCTCTTCATCATTACAAGCCTACCCCGCTTTATGTGATGGATGAAATTGATGCTGCCCTGGGTACTTACTTTTACTTTATATCTAAATTCTTTTGTAAATGCTATATATATTTGAAATACGTTGAACACGTGTGCTATATGGTTTGGCAGACTTCAAGAATGTATCTATTGTCGGGCATTATGTGAAAGACAGGACCAAGGACGCTCAATTCATAATCATTAGGTAGGTTTGGTACTTCAAGAATGTTATTTACTCAGAATATTGTGTTTACCTATGCATATTTACTCTAATATTTGCCTGGTATGCTTCTTCCTCCTGCAGTCTTAGGAACAATATGTTTGAATTGGCTGATCGACTTGTTGGGATTTATAAAACTGATAATTGCACAAAGAGCATTACTATCAATCCGGAGAGTTTTGTGGTATGCCAAAAGGCTGCTTGATGGAGTTGTCAACTTACCGTTGATGTTAATTTGAAGAATACCTCATAATTTAATCTCTTGTACCAGCTTGATCGTGCATATAATCGTAATTGTTATTAAATTTATTAGTGTTCTATTTGTTGTGTATTAAATTCTGTCTGTATCTGACTTTTTATTGTAGCATGCCCATTCATACGAGATAAATGAAATATATATGTAATTAGTTTTACCTGTCCTATGGACTCGTCTTGTTTTATGTTAACTTTGTGACACGAATATTTTAAATAATTTTTTTTATTTGAATTGACTTAGAAATTAAATTTTATATTTGAAGCCAATCGTACAAAATGATATCTTAATTCAAATTTTATGTTTAAAGTTCATTAAAGATTGGTTTTATTTTATTTTTTCAAATGGTTTATTTTAAAAGGTAAAATAATCAATGTATATAATCAATTTTTGAAAAATAAAATCATCTTTATTTGTGGTTTTCAAAATCTAATCGTTTTCTTTTATTGTTTTTTTTAATGTTTTGAACTTTTTTATTTATAAATTGAATCACCTTATTAATCAAGGTTAACATGATTGTACAACTTATTTAAAAAATAAATTGAATCAAACATGTAATGAGTTAAAGTTGATTTGAAGAGAATCAAATCGTATTTTCTTGAAAGTGAAGAGTCAAACTCCTTATCATTTAACCATAAATACGTTCCATATTTATTTGATTTCATACTTGAATTGGGTAAATTTGAAGTTCATTTTAAAAAAATTTAGAAAGGAGAAGCATGTCTAATAGAAGTAAAACAAACAATTTTTTTAATCCAACTCGTTTAACACGCAAGCAAATTCACCCAGAGACAAAATCAAAGTTCCCACGAAGTTAATCCCAAATTTACAGGAACAAGACAAGTGGACAATGCTCCAAGTCGAAGACATAACAATGAAACCAAACGAATGCACCGGTTCGTAAAATTTCACGTTTTAAATTTGCTGGTAGCTATCCTCACCACTTAAAATATTCATAATGGGACCCTTTTATGCCACCAATTTGTGGTTATCTTCAACTCTCATCCAAACCAAAATCATTACCATGGTTCTGCCTTACCATTTTTTTTCCAATTCCAATAGAAAAGCCCTCATCTTTTAATCACACTTGCACTGTTTTCTTCACTTGGCTTCTCCCCAATTGCAAAACCTTGTTCATCTCTCAGTTTCACCACCTGGGTATTCCCTATTCTCATCATAGCTCTTGTTCTTCTTCATTCCTTGCATGATGGCATCGATGAGTTCTTTACCATTCCTTGTGGAAACAAATGCTGACTCCACTGTGATGCTGCTGCTTCACTCTAGGAACCCAAAGTTTTCACCGAAGTTTGGTTCTTTGAATGCTTCATCATTTGCCAAAGGGTTGGGTCGTGGTAGAGTGAATCACAGTTGTAGCAGAGGCTTACCATGTTTAGTGGGGAATAAGCAGATAAGAGCTCTTGGGAAGAGTTCTGGGACAAGTGAGGATAAGGATGAATCCGAGGATGTGCTTCAGGCCACTATTGAAAAGAGCAAGAAGGTTCTTGCTTTGCAAAGGGAACTTCTTCAACAGGTATTGTGGTGGAATGTGTTTAGCAAGGGGTCCATGATTTCTCCTCAATTTAAGTTGTTCTAAAAGGGTTTAATTTGAGACCCGCAAAAGTGTTAAAAATTATTATTATTTTTTCTAATTTTGAAATTGGAAAATTAGGACCATTTTTTCAGAAAATTAAAAGAGATAATGTCTTTTCCTCTTGGGAAAAGTAAGGACTAGTAGAGTAAAGCAATGGCTAATAAGTATACTTTACTAAAAATCCCAACTCCCAATGTAATCAATCATGCTTTTTCAATGGCATCTTCTTGCAGATTCATTGCTTTGGTCTATTTATGACCTCCTAAATAATTTATTGTTTGTGTTTATTTTCCTTGATCTATTCTAGCTTTTAGAATAATAGAATGCAAAATTACGTGGTAAAATTTGGTGTATGAGATCCTTTTGCTAATATCTTCCCTTTGGAATTACTATTTAACTCTGTAGTTGTGAGGTCTTACTTGCATATGTCAAAATAGAAGTGATAAAGAAAGATATTGAATTGTAGAAAAGATAGCTCAGATTCAGTAACTGTATTACAAAATAAAATGTGAGGCTTTTAAATTTTTTGTAGTATAAAAAATAAAATTCATGCATGCTACCCATAAGTTTGCATTTTCTTGGATTATTTTTCTTGTATTTGTTTTTGTTATTGTTTATCTTAATAACTGTACCATCAAATCCAGGTTGATTTTACAACTGACTACTGAGTATAAGATATTCACTTCCATAAGTTAATTACCGGAAATTCAATTGAATGCTAAATAATGGAGGGTCTGTTTGGTTTGGGAAAATACTTTTCAATTATATTTCCTGTTTTCACTTTTAAATATAAAAATGTCTCCTTATTTGTTATTTTTTTTTATTTTGTCTTCAAAGATTTGTATAAAAAAAAGTGAAAACAATAAGGTGGTATTTTTGTAATTAAAAGTGAAAATAGAAAACATTTTCTCAAAATAAAGGGGTCCTAAGTGTGACTTTGTTGTTTGAATTGATTAAGCTGGTTATTCATTCTTTTAATTTATAAAAACATATCAAAAACTTCTGAAGCACTTAATTGTTTTAGTTAATTTAGAAAATGAGCAAATGACTGAGGTACTGTATAAGAGCAGCACCTTTATATGAGGAAATGGGACAAGCCATGTCATGCTTTATCTAATAAGCCTGACCTTGACTTATTTACTTCACATAGACCTTCTAAAAGGCTTGGCCTGTCCTTCTTTGAATGCGTGGTCTAACTTGAAAGGTTATTTAGAATCCTACTTTGTACTAAGGCTTTTTAAATAGGTCAGCAATCCTACTTAGAAATAGGCTAATGCATCTAAGCCTTTAAATAGACTAATAATTATATAATCTAAAAGAATACTGTATAATAATAATAATAATAATAATAATAATAATTGTTCTTACTGTTATTATTATAATATTTGTTTTTACTTAAATAAGTTGGCTATTTCAGCTTAAATAAAATTCATTTGCTCTTGACAAGCTGTCTGACTTATTTGCATCTCTAATTCTCCATTTATATGTTTTTGCTATAATAATTTGATGCAGCTGTCATGTCCTGTGATCCTAGACGAACTTGCTTCTGAAAACATGGTTTGGTTATGGGTTTAACAGAATCTAGTTCTCATCAAATGTGCTGTGTATGAAGACGTGTGGATGACTCAGCTATTGGGAAATGATTTTTTTATGTGGAGTTGATTATACAAGTTGCAATTATTTTTGTGTCAGCATACTTTATTATAAGTGTTCATGTGGTGATCTTATTTCGCTTTATTTCTATTTTAGATTGCTGATAGAAAGAAATTGGTGTCTTCGATAAATAGTGAGAGCATTCCTGAAACAGAAGGGAACAGTATCCCTTACAAGCACAGTGATGAATCTCAGTCAAGTGAGTCAAATTCACAGAAAGGTTCTGCCAGCAGAGGTAGTGCTGTTGAGAACCAAAATGGTGGCATTTTATTTAGCAATTATATCAATTCTGATGAGAAGGAAATACCAGATATGTCATATGTAGGCATTGATCAAGATTTTGACAAAGGTGAAGAGGAAGATGATAAATTGCCACCTGCTGAAAAGGCTTCATCTACTAGGCTATACTTAAATGAAAAGTTGAAAAACAAAAAATATGAGACAATTACGCCTGATAAGCCAATTGAAATCGCAAATACCACCAGAACTTTAAGTTTAAAGGTTGAAAGTCTGGAGGATGTGATTGAATCAAGTTTAAAAGAGATTGGTAATGAAGCTGACAATGTTGAAAGTGAAGGTGAAAAACCCCCACCTTTGGCTGGGGCCAATGTCATGAATGTTATATTGGCTGCAGTAGAATGTGCTCCCTGGTCAAAAACAGGTAATTTCACATTGCTTTTATGGAAGGTTTTCTTTAATGAATGAATGTTGCTGAGCTCCTTTTTGACAAACCCAGATAGGCATCATTTAGAAAGCATGCTCAAATATACACCTGGAAATTTAACAAGTGGCTGATTTTGTTGGCAACCTGTTCTGGGTCTAGTGATTCACTAATTGAAATAAATTGGCATTGAGAAAATATATCATGCTTATACCAATTTTGGTTTAACTTGTATCACAGATACTGCAGGAGGCATATTAACTATAAAGTTTACCTTGAAAAAAATAAAATAAAAAAAAAACTGATTTAGATGTAATCAGCTGTAACAATTCAGAAGTATAGATAGACAGAATTTAATAATTTTTTTTTTTTTGAGGTGAGATTTTTTTTTGAATTTGTATATTTGTCATTGTGAGCCTTGTTCTTGAATTATGACACTGACAATTTAGCACCCTAATGAAGCTTTAATATTCATTTGTAAGAATACACTAGATGCAACTACCTACATTTAGCAAGTCCATGAAACTCCCTCTTTTTCTCTCTTAGACCAATTGAAATCTTTGGTCTTCTTTCTGTTCTGTGCATGCTGTTTTATTTTGATGTAATTTACAGACTTATACCTGTCCTAATAGGTGGGCTTGGAGATGTTGCTGGATCATTACCTAAGGCTTTGGCTAGGCGTGGACACAGAGTTATGGTAACATGCTATTCCCTTAATGAACTGATGTTGTATCACTAACACATGTGGGAAAAGAACGTGCTCTTTAGATTTGCTCCTTGCTTAACAAACAACCACATGAACACAATCTTTTGAACTGGGTTGTGAAATTTGATCCTTCTACTTTGATTGGGTCTTGATCACTGTTTCCTTCTTTGCTTTTTAAATATTCTATGATTCTATCCATGTCAGATGAATATTTTCAGTCTTTGATCTCATTTCTTATGGAAGTGAATAGATGCATTATGCATGATGGATAGTACTACGGATGGAGTTTGTACAACCCAAAGATAAAATTATTAGATTTTAGAAAGAGAGCTGAGAGATAGAGAAAGAAATGTATTGAAATACAGAGACCGAAGGAGATAATCCTCCCAAGGGTTTCCCCATTCACAATCTAGTTACTGCTCAATGTTAGTGTATGTTAGTAAAGCTTCTGTAACTGACTAGTTTCTAATAGCTTCAGTTGTATCTAACTTCCTGTTATGACAGTTGTACTGATTAGGATTAGTGAACTCTATATATAAATCTCTCTTTGTATCATTCAAATATAGACTCAATAATATTCAGAAAGATAAATCACTCTCTCTTCTCTGATTATCAACACTCGATTCCCCCAAAACTAACAAATGTGAATACCCCTTAACTTATTCCACCTGTGTTCTGCTGTTTAAGCTAAGTCTCCACTATTAACATTTTTTTCCTTTTGTTTGATAAACCCCACACTTTAACAGTTTGAACTACCTAACCAATTATGTAACTACTCTAACAAACTACACTCTGGGTCCCATCAACTTATTCATTTTTTTTTATTAATATTTCCATTTTCTTGCTTTTATTTTATTTTATTTTTCACTTTCTTCTTAGGTTGTTGCTCCTCGGTATGGTAATTATCCTGAACCACAAGATACAGGAGTTCGGAAACGATACAAAGTAGATGGTCAGGTTTGCAGCAGCTACTCTATTCTCAATCAATTATAATCCGTTGAATCAATCAATTGCTAATTTGCTACTACCATGTTGCCGTAACTCTCCAATGTTTTCACTTTACAGGACATGGAAGTAACATATTTCCAGGCCTACATTGATGGTGTTGACTTTGTTTTTATTGACAGTCCAAATTTTCGCCATCTAGAAAATAACATATATGGTGGAAACCGAATGGTAAGTCTATTTTTGTTGAGTTGAAAACCACTGTTAAGTGTTTCTATTGTCATGAACTGTAATTTGCTCCTATTCATGGGGGAAAAAACAAAAGACGAAAAGGGGGAAACAATGACAGAAGTTACTGAACTGTCTTATTTTTTGAATTATTTTGTTTCCTCCATTAGCAAAATGATTATAAGATGAATGACCAAAATGCTGTGTTGTTTTGATTTAAGGTATACTAGAAACTCATCTTGCATTAGTATATATTCAAGACTGCTCACTACCTGTAACTAGTTCTCTGATCTTATTAATTTCTTTTTGACTCTTGCATTTCCTTTGGTGGAACAGGATATTCTAAAACGGATGGTGTTGTTTTGCAAGGCAGCTGCTGAGGTACATGAACTAAATGATTTTTTTGTGACTTAAATCAATTATGGGGTCTGTAATCCAAATCATTTTTATCAACTGTCAAAAGTCATTCTACAGCTGTGTTCTTAATGGAATCATTATATTTGTCAACATTCAGTGGATAAATGAAGTTGATGATTTTCAGGTTCCTTGGCATGTTCCATGTGGGGGTATTTGCTATGGAGATGGAAATTTGGCTTTCATAGCAAATGATTGGCACACTGCATTGCTGCCAGTGTATTTGAAAGCATATTATCGTGACAATGGTTTGATGAAGTACACAAGATCTGTTCTTGTGATTCATAACATAGCACACCAGGTTCATTCTCTATTTAGATATATAGTTAATTCACTGTTTTGTACAGTGAAGCATCTGGTCCACTTGTTTTATGGAATAAGAATAAGTTGTTAGTGGACATTGTTATTTTCACTCAATCATGTTACCCAGATGGAAAAGCTCATATTCCATATGTTTCAGCAGTTGTATACATAATTTTCCTTCTGCATAATATCTTGGGGGTAAGCAGAGGCAAAATATTATTGTCTTTGACATATCAGTACAGTGACGATTAACATTTCTAGATTGCCTTTTATCTCAAGGTTAGAAAGGTTAAAAAAAGTACCTTTATGTTTCTATTACTGTTCTGGATGGTTCATCTATGCTTATATATTTGCACTCCAACCTCAAATTGTTTAAATATTCTGTGAATATAGGCCATTGAGCAATAAGTATGCGATATCCTGTCGATGATTAATTTCATTGCACTAGTTTAAAACTCCATGGTCTCAGCATCTTGTTGATGATAATAGATTTTGGTAATAAACTATCATTCTGAAACCCATAGAAGATGCTGAAAAATATTCATATTTCTTTCCAGAAAGCAAAAGAAATTTAGTAAGGAATCAAGAAAATGTTTCCTCTTCAGAAGAATCTAAGTTTGCATTGCTTGTGGTCATGGATTGTATCTAAAAGCAATTCTTTTATCTTTGAACGAGAAAAATTATACCAAACATTGAAGCTGATTCCATTTCCTTAATGGTTGGTGTTTGTTGCATTTTTTCATGCAGGGTCGAGGCCCAGTTGATGATTTCCGCTATGTGGATTTGCCCGAACACTACATAGACCTTTTCAAATTATATGATCCTGTTGGAGGTGAGCACTTCAATATCTTTGCAGCCGGTTTAAAGACAGCTGACCGAATTGTCACTGTTAGTCATGGATATGCATGGGAGCTTAAAACTTCTGAAGGTGGTTGGGGTTTGCATGAGATCATAAATGAGAGTGACTGGAAATTGAGGGGAATTGTGAATGGCATTGATAACAAAGATTGGAACCCGCAGTTTGATGTTCATTTGACATCAGATGGCTACACCAACTACACCCTTGAGACCCTACAAAGTGGCAAGCGTCAATGTAAAGCCGCCTTGCAAAAGGAGCTTGGTTTGCCTGTCCGCGAGGATGTTCCAGTAATTGCTTTCATTGGAAGATTGGATCAACAGAAAGGTGTTGATCTCATAGCTGAAGCAATTCCTTGGATGATGGGCCAGGATGTGCAACTAGTCATGTTGGGAACCGGAAGGCCTGACTTGGAACAGATGCTTAGGCAATTTGAATCCCAACACCGTGACAAAATCAGGGGATGGGTTGGCTTTTCTGTGAAGATGGCTCACAGGATAACAGCAGGTGCAGACATATTGCTCATGCCATCAAGATTCGAGCCATGTGGATTGAATCAACTCTATGCCATGAATTATGGAACAATTCCCGTTGTGCATGCCGTCGGTGGACTGAGAGATACCGTGAAGCCTTTCAATCCATTCGAAGAGTCCGGCCTTGGGTGGACGTTTGATAGTGCAGAAACTAATAAGTTAATAAACGCATTAGGGAACTGCTTGTTGACCTTCAGGCAGTATAAGACGAGCTGGGAAGGGCTGCAACGGCGAGGGATGACCCAGGATCTTAGTTGGGACAATGCTGCTCAGCAGTATGAGGAGGTCCTTGTTGCTGCTAAATTCCAATGGTGATTTCTTGCTAAAACTATGGAGTGCATTCATGCTGAATGATATCAGGATCTGTGCAAGGGAAAGGACCTGCGCGAGTTGTTTATAGGTAGGTATATTTCTGAAAATTTTCTATAATATCACTGTTACTCACTGCCTTCATGATGCAGGTCCTGGAGGAACAGTTTTGTTCTGTAAACTAAAGATTATGTAATAATACAGTGGTTATATATGTCATATCTCTGGTACATATCCATGTAGCTGAAAGCCAATTGACAGGAAAAAAAAAGAAAAATCAAATAAGCTTAGAAACTTGTTTGTCCTTTCAGCTAAAGAAAGAAAAAAGAAAGAAGACTTTTGCCCCCCTTAGAAAGAAACTCTCTCTCTCATCGCCCCTTCTAAGTTTCTACGCTTTCAATGCTGCAATTGTACCTCTACAACTATGTTCATCCCATCCAAAAAAACTTCAACTTCTGACTCCTCTTCATCCATGTCAGAAAGCACGTCTCCACAATGTAATCATGCTTTGATATTTCAACCCCCAGCTTGTCCATTTTATGGTATATTTCTTCGTTTTTGTTGACTTCAATTCTTAAATGCTGAATTTAAGGATTCAAAAATAGTAAGTTGTAGGATTTACTATAATTTTATAATCTAATGGAATAATTACTGTTTTTTCATATAAAATTTTACTAATCTCAAATAGTTAAATTTAACCTTAAAGACTGATAATAACAAAATCAACATTTTTCTTATGCATATTAGTCCAGCTACAAGTTGCAAGCATTGTTAAACCCTTCCTCTCAATTGTTTTGAACAACCAATTACACATTTAAAAGTAGCTATCCCAAATTCTCACATAAATTTCCGAAGTTCTATATTCTCGTGCATTGAACAATGCTGCCCACATGTTTGATGTTGGTTCGAAAGGAACACTTCTTATCAGTGCAACTGCTTCATCTAGTTGATCCTCTCAACCTACTACTTAAAAAATACATGCCCAGTTCATTGCTCTGCATTTCATCTTGTGATCTCTAGTGAGAATGAAAAATCTTCCAACCCCTAACAAGACCTCTTAAATACACAAGAATATCTATAAACTAGGTCTAACAATTCGGCAACCGTATCGCAGCATGGACCTATGCTGTATGTTCAAATGAAGTCAGTCTTGCACAAACACACACTAAAATTAAAAGAGTGAAAGGATCCATTTTAACACCGCTACCATGCATCTCATAATAAATATATAAATAGTTTCCTCACTATGACCACAAAGAGCATAGCTAGAGTTAGCCAACCATAGTAGAATTCTACAAAATGCAATGATCTTTTTTAGCATTTGGTGAATCAATACACATTTAGGATCTTCAATATAGTCACACTTGTTACATATGTCATGTGAATTACCCTTCTCTTTTTTAAAAATATTTTTTCATATTTAAATCCTCTCTAATTTTAGCAAGAATTACAACTTGCAGTGTATTTTTATTTAAATAAATTTAAATTCATTTAAACAAAATACACAAAAAAAGTATTTTTTATTTAAATTAAAAAAATTTACTTAAAGCAAAATAAAAAATATTACTTGAAAAGAAAGGGGACGAGGAAAAGCAAAAAGAGAAGGGGTGAGGGGGAGGAGATGAGAAAAGAGTGGGAGAAAAAAGAGGATGAGAAGAGATGGAGAGAGAGAGAGAGAAAACAACAAATACTATTTTTACTGTGAATCTAAATTTATTTTTAAAAAATTAATTCTATAAATTGTAGTTTGCCTTAGAATTGTAAAGAATATATTTTTTACTTTTCTGTTGGTTACAATTTTTTTTTTCATTACCCTTATATTATATTATTGAAGAAGAAACTTAGTGTATGATTGTGATTATGAAAAGAGGATGAACAATGAAAAATATTTATATCAATTTTCTATCTACTGGCAAGATTGGTAAATACTAAAGAATATAAATTGTTGTTGTTGAATTTAAAAAAGATAAAATATCATTAAATACTTGGAGGATCTATTATTAAAAATTATTATGTAACTTAGTATAAAAAACATTATTTTTTCATTTTCAGCCACACAAATCTTAGGATAAAATAAATAATCAGTTTCAACTATTCAATATTTTAAATATTAGTTTGAACTATTTTATTCAATACTCCAATATGTAATTTTACTCTTTTGAAAGTTGACTTCTTTAAAACCAATTCTTTAATAATTTGAAACAATAAGGATCGTTTTCTTTTGTTAAAAAAAAAAAAAGGATCAATAGCTTAATGAATAGGAACTATTGGGATTTAAACAAAAATAGGGATTGGTATTGTTAGTTGTAGGCTTACATCATGCCTTGATGAGGCCTAGGTAGAGTTGGAGTTAAATTTAACTTTGTTGATTATTAATGAGCTTCAGTAGAAAAACTTGCATCCTAACAAGTAGTTATGGGTTTTGGCATAATGATAACTATTCAATCTTATAAATATCTTGACGAAAGGGGATAAAATTCAAAAACTTAAATATATGGGGACCAATAAAAATCTAAATCAAATAAAGATACAAAAGACTAGGGTTCTTTTTTTTTTAATCTCCCATACACCACGTGTTTGGAAGCCATTTCAGTCTAAACTAATCTAAATAGTAAAGTTCCCTTACATAATACTTCAACTTAAAATCTTATTTAAGAAAAATTAAACTCTATATTACTAAAATTAATTGACATTTGTATCAAGTGTTTCCAAATTATTATTAAAAATTATAAGTACTTTTAATAGGTTTAGCAACACTTTTGATTTCTTAAGTTTTTAGTTTCCTAACTTTTTTTTTTCTAAACGATTAAGTTATTTTATTTTTAAAATTAAATAACTTTGATTTTGTTTTTAATTATTTTCTGTCTAAAACCCCTTAAATTTATACTTTTTATGCAAAATTTTTATAAATTAACTTAGTAAATTATTATTTTAGATCACTTTAGTCAAAATTCACTAATCAAAATATTAGATATTACCCAAGTAAAAAAACTCAAAGCTCTCCCTTTTCAAACTTAGTGTCACTTTATAAAATCCTTCAAATTTTATTTATTTTCTTCTAAATTCTTAACCTCTAAACTTTTTAAGCGCATTTCATAATCCAAATTCATCAAAAGCCTCCAAATATATGGATAAAAAAAAAAAAAAATTTTAGTAATTTAGGTGAACGAAAATTGAAAGCACGACCAAATTAGCTTCATTTTAACATAAGACTTAATTGACTTGAAAATTCTTAAAAAAACAAAAATTACACTCCATTCAAATTAGAAGTACAATTAATCTGACGTAATATTTACTCTCTACTAATACTATTATTTTTATCTATCTTTTGTTGCTACTATTCTTAAATATTATAGTAATTAATTAATTAAAAATATTTTTTTGGGTAAAAGTCCACATCACATGAAGAAAATGTCCCAAATTGCATGTTATATATTTTTATTACAATCATAAGATTTATACATTTTCCTATTGTATTATTATTACACCATTTTTTCCTTGGATGTAAATTTAAATTTTTATACACACACACACACATATCTTTTATACCCTCCTCCCCCAAATACATAAAAATAAAAATAAAATAAAAGGAGTTAAAAATAGTATAGCGATGTGCTATACAAATGAAAAAGCCTCTGTATTGTTGAAAGATTTTGTCCCTACCATAGCCCAAATGATGAATAGCAAGACAGGAAATGCTAAAGAGAGACTCTCAAAGAAGGAATTTAAAATAGAATTGGGGGAATATGTTAATTTGAAGGATCAAACTTTTCACTTCATTTCTCTTGGTAAACATAAACAATTTTATCACACATTATGCTACATTCAGTTGTTGTCTAAAGAAACTAATTGCTGAGTATTCAGTGATTCATCTGTTCATTTATATTTGCACTATGTGGCGTTTGTTTTATGCCCACTTCTAGATTCGTGACTAATTGAAAAAAAGATGCTTCTTTCAGATGTATCTATTTGTTTACCAAAAAAAAATATGTATCTATTTGTCAGTTAAGTTTTTGACAAAATTAATTTTATAGAAGATATGTTTTGATTTCACCGCCACTATTGCATTGCTAGTGGGCATTAGTGACCATTAATAGTACACCATTAGTAGTACAAATATTCTTTGGATCTCTATGCTCCACATCTTATGCATTCCTGAGTCAAATGTAGAAATGTTCATGGTGAACCTTTCTTGGAGGGAGCACCTGCATAAATTGTGACATGTAGCATCATTAGATTATAATAATGGATTTAATTGAGTAATTTTGAAAAATTGAAAAATATTTCTATTAAAACATTATCGCAATTATTTCACAACCAAATTAAATTCAAGGAGTACATTTTTTTTGCCCCCTTAAACTTTATTTATGACTGAATGCATTATCAATTGATTAGTGGGGCACTTGCAAGGAAAGAGACTGAAATCTAAAAGAAATGCAATCATATTCACTTTGAAACAACAAAAAGATAATATGGCATATTTTTCTATGGTCATTTCCCTAACCCATTAAAAGTTGTTCTGCTGATATACTAGAAAAGGTTACATAACTACCGTGCGTAAGAATTTTTTCAGTTATCTGTAATGTGCTGCTTTACTTACATTACATTAGTTTATATTAGTCATTTAGTGAGCACATTATTACCCCTTTTGGCGGGCGCAAGGAAAAGGAAAAAACTTTGTAAATCATCCTTATTTTGTCATGATAAAGCTTATTTGTTTAAGTTTTTTAAAAAGGTAATTTTAAGAATATGTAAAAATTGATTTATATTTTTAGAGATTTTATGAAAAGCAGAATGTTATAATTTAGTTGTTTAAAATTATTAAAAACATAAAATTATTTTAAAAGAGAGTAGTTGAAGCAAACGGGCTCATAACTCCTCTCAACACATGGAATGCTAGTAGTAAAAGATAGCTACTACTATAAGAATCCTTTGAGAACAGAATAACAAAAGAAAGGTCTGAGGTTACTTAAAAGAGCTTTATGTTGATCATTAAAGCACTCATTCATGACCCTATAATACAACCTTCGGTGGAAGGTCACTGCCTTGTTATGGAAGTGGTAGGGGAACCTTTTGGTCTGGATTAGCACCCAGTAGGAAAGAAGCTCATAAATGGAAGATTAGGCGACACCTAATCAATTGGGAATTTCATATAAGGTTTCCCATACTTAATGACTTAAATTCATCAATGTCATGATGTCTGTCCAATATATATAGGGTGGGCGGGGTTATAAGAAAGAATGGCACTTAAGCATTCACAATATTGAATAAAAAAACAATTCATCTACAATATTAAGCTAAGATGGAGTGGTCCATTCAAAAGTGTGTCAGCCCTTTCTTTTAACTGATGCTACCAAGTGTTAGCACGGGAAAAAAACTGATGAATATGATTACTCAATTTAGTAGTAAAGAGAAGAGGAAATCCTAATGTGCCCCAAGTGTAATGCACCAAGAAAATACAAAATGTGATACATGCAGTTACATGTGGATTGGTGGACTAATATTTGTAGAAGTAATCTGAATTCGGGTGTGATGGACCCAAAAGCAAAATTGCTCAAAAAGGTCAGGCTAGTCTGTTGTTTGATGCTCTTGCTACGAGTGCAAAAATTTGTCACCAACATATTCTTTAAGTTTAACACATTCTATTGGGCGGAATTCACATAGGATTCATGGAATAGTGTGGGATCAGTAAGAACATCATTTAGTAGATCCAGTAGACTAAAGAGTAAGATCAAAGACGTGCGCTAGAGAGAGTGTGTTATTAGAATTCCTCAAGAATTTGTGATGCTAGAGATTAACAACTTTAACCTAGGAGATTGCTCCTCTATCTTATTGAAAGAAAATTTGAAAAATATCCATTTAAACAGATATCATGTTAGTGCTTTCGCTATGGGATTTCGTTTTGTCCACCTAAAATGTTTTTATTTGCAAAATAACAGAGGATGTCTACACAGACCAATTGAGAAACAGGAGGATGTAACTAAATTACAGTATTCAACCGATGTCACGATTCAAGGTCAATTTACAGAGTAAAGATTGCAATTGAGAATTTGAGACATGATGGCTGCCTAGCAATCTCAGGATTTCTACAAGTAAAGAAATCAAATCGCAATTAAAAAGAAAGTATATTGAGATTATCATAAAACGTAAATTCAGACACAAAAAAGAAAATGTAGCAATAAAGAATTGGCTAATGGATTATAAATTAACATGAGAACATCTTACCAATCATGCTGTTAAAATCTGGTCATTGTTCCTTGTAAGAACTGCATGTGCTCCCCCCATTTACCCATCAATGGCAGAAGAGATTCACTAGTGCAATAACCTTGATTTAAGGTATCTGCAAATAAAATAAATCAGTGTAATGCTACTGACATTTTAACACATCCGAAAACAAACATGAAAATTTACTCGCAAACACCTTGTGAGCATTATAAAAGTAAATAATAATTAAGCTTACAAAAATAATAGATAGAACGTTGACCACGACAAAGTTCCAGGAGTAACTAAAAAGGCTATTTTACAGATAGAAATATAAACCAAGTGGATTTCATAGGGAAAAACAGAGGAAGCAGAAAGGAAAAAAAATTAAGAAGAAAATGCAATATTTCAGGATCCAAAATAGTTTTGTTTTATTTGGACAAACAAATAACAAGATGTACAATAAGCAAACTTTGTAAGAAGTCATCAATGAAAAGAGAATAAAAATCCCCAAAATTATCACCCAATTGTTCTCTCCATTAGCGAATTCAATTTTCTGACAAAAGAATTCAAATATAAAACCCAAGGTTACATATACCTGTCTAAAAAGATGTCATGTGCTTGAGAAAATCCACTCCACTGTTCCTACAATCACAACCCAGATAATGAAAACAGGAGAAAGTTTCCATCACTGTTTAACTGTAGAATCAAGGAACCAAAAACAAAATATCAGCTTTAAAATACATTTTCAAGATTGAAACAGACTCAGGAAAAAACTACAGAACAACAAAACAAACTCTATTGTAACCTGCAGCTCATAACAAGATTGAGAACTTCAATCCTATGCAATCATCACAAAAACTACGACATAACAATAACCACGAAAGACAACAAAATTAAAAAACCTGAATGAGCAACTTTGAAGAACTAAATAAATCTTAAATACTAGAAAAGGAAATTAAAATAACTGTTTTCTTATATTCGCAGGTATAACCAACTAACTGTGTATGAGCCATAGTTCCTTACAACTTATTGCCAAGGGGCTTATTTAAAGACATTCTAAGTTCCTAATAGACCAATAGATCAATGGAAAAGATCAGAGAAATCACTCCTATGCCATAAAAGATAACAAGTACACATTCTGTATTTGATTCAATTATATCCTTTCCTTCATTCATTCCTTCCATCCCTCCTGCCTATAAATCAAAAGGGGGCAATCCTACTCATCATGATCGCAATGCTACTTCTTGATCTTTCGATGCTTCTTCGGTCCCGGAACCTCTAACCTACCAACAGAACAGCCACACCTCGCTCGGAGCACAAGCACTGCCCTTCCGTTAGGTGGTGCCATCTTCTTGAGCTCAGCTTCCAGTTCCCTATGGTGATCACGAGGCAACTCAAAGAGACCCTTCTTAACACCATCTTTCGTCATCGATGAATTCGGCGAGTTCTTCACACAATCCTCAGTCTCCAACTGAATGTCAAACTCTGCAGCCTTCCTCAAACCCTTGCAATTTGGGTTCCCACACTTCCTAGTGGTGCAAGCCACCACACTCCATGTGGCCAATGCAGCACACACAACACTGATTCCTATAGATATATAGATCGAAGGTGCAACAGAAACCTCTTCCTTAACCAAAAACACAACCACCCTACCAATCTGCAAGCACTTGGTGATCAAAAGCTCTATGTAAGGAAAGAACAAGAACCCACAAGCACAAACAACAGCAATGAACATCACAACATCAACCATAGCCGATCGAGATCGATCGCAGGGTGGAATCTGAAGCGAATTTGATGAACTTTGGGTCCTTCGATTCCTCTGAAGGTGATTGCTTTGCCTCGATTTCGAACCAAAATCCGAAGAACAAATCGAATTCGCCATGGAAGGTTGGTCAACGGACTTGCAGAGAGAGATTGAGCTATGGAAATAGACCATTTCAAAGCACACGCAGAAAATTGAAAAGCCAAAAATCTTGAATCCAAAATAACCCAATTTTCTTCTCTTTTTTTCAGATCAAACCCACCAATTTTTCACCCAAATCGGATCGACCCACCTCGCCAAATCCCCAAAAGCTTACAACTTTGAAGTGATCCAAACACGGGCAAGATCGGAATTTGTCGGTGCCCCAATGGATCAAAATTCACGAAAGGAGCATTTTTTTTCCTTCTTTTTTTAAAAAAAAATTCAGGGTGAAAAGAAAAATGAAAAATGAAATTCAATATCTGATGATGCAATAGAGAGTGTTGAAGAGAAAAAATTAGAGTTTGGAAATGGGTTTTAGAGGCCGGCTTGAAGGGGTTGCTGAAGCAGAGAGTGCAGGGGAAGAAGCAGAGAGGACAAGGAAGGAAGAGTCATCATTCACCGCTTTATTATCATCAGATGAAATCAGCAATGTTTATTTATTTATTTGTTTTTTTTATTTAATTTATTTGCTCGTAACAAGAAGCATAGACAGGGTCATACATAACACATAGTAAATGTTACATACACGCAAGCCAAACCATCGCAGGGACACGTTTTGTTCTGTGATGCTTGTTAGGGTGTGGCGTGGGCTATGCAATGGTGTGGAGTTGAATGGGCTTGGATTCACCTCTTTTTCTACAATTCTGATATCATGTGTGAATGATTCGGTGGGACATCCCCATGGGCTTGACCCACATCCCTTTTGGGAAAATTGCATTTTGCTTTCCATGTTCTTAATTCTTGTTTAATCATTGTGACTAAAATGTGAAAAAATGTTCTAGTAGTCATGTTATTTTGCTCTGAATGATTTTTTTGTGAAAAGTGATGTAAATGATTTTTTAAGTAATAAGGAGAGGGATAGATATGTTGGCAGAGAATATAAAAACGATTTTAAGAGAGAGAGAGAGAGAGAGAGAGAGAGTTGTCTTGAAAAAGAAAAAGGTTTAGAATATTGATTTTTTTTTCTCATCCAAGAAGAGATTCATAGTAAGTCTCATTAGGAGAAAAAGATGGGATAAAAGAATGACGAAAAACTGAAAAATCAAACTTGTTCACTGATACATGTTCTGCAATTTAATTAAAAGTTGACTTGAGGAAATATAGTTTTGTATATTTTTGCAAAAAAAAAAGTATTTTTTAGATCATGTTTGGTTGAGCCCTTTTTTAGTGAAATAGTAGTTTTTCTTTTCAAAAAATTATTAAAACTAAAATGAATCAACATACACTTGATTTCTCTTTTAAAAAGAGTTTTAAATTTTTTTTCTAAATATAGTATAAAATTTATACTATATTTAGAAAAAGAATTAAAAACTCTTTTAAAAATGAAAAACAAACATACCCTAAATTTTTATGTTGTTATTCTATGGGTGATTTCATGATGATTGAACCAAACAAAAAAATTTCTTGTTTTATGACAGAAGCAACGGTTGATGAATTGTTCTTCATACCAGTTTGAACTTCATATCTAAATTCAATTTATTGATCGGTAAAACCATTAGATTTGCATCATAGAATTGACTACTAATTTAAAGAGTTTTAAATTGATTATTGTCAATGTAAAACTTTTACGTTATCACTAAACAAATGACACATTATTATAATATGAAAAAAAGAAAGTACTCGTCATTATAATATATGAATAGTTTTTAACTTATGATAAAGGACGTTAACATCGTACCAGAAAAGGAAGTTAGCATAGTCAATTTTTAAATAGATGGTGGCATCACGTATCACGCAGTATAAAAATAATTATATACTATACATCAATGAATCAAGTTTAATGATATCACTCAAAAACTTTGCTAGCGAGCTAATTTTTTATGAAACATATCTTGATGACGATACTATCATTGTTATTCACTAAAGAATCAAAATAAAAGAGTGGTTAGTAATAAAAAGAAAGATAAAGTTAAAAGGAAGAATAAGAGAAAGGGGTTCTCATAAATGTTGACGCTGTGTTAGTTCTATATTATATATACTTGATCAAAGCTCATGCATGGCTTGGCAAATTAATGACAATAATCTTATAATAGTTTTTTAATATAAAGTGATAATATTCATTATGTTAGCATAGCACACGTAACATATGTAAATATATTATACATGGAGTTGAAGTGTTTAACCAGTTCAAGTAAGTACATTCCATTATTTGATATATTGGAGGAGTGGTGAGAAGTTGAAAAACCATGGAAATGTCTATGATGCTCATAAATGGCACTTTTGTTTACTTGATATTACTCTTTAGGAATCAGTATCTTTTGACTAAGTAGCGTGAAGTTGGCAATTACAACTTGTATGAGAAAGGATAAAAAGGCTACACCATCCTTCTCAAGAAAGCTATAAAGAAAATTCAATTATTTTCCATATATGTGCATTTTTTTCTTTCTTTTAAACTTACCATCTGTGTGTATATGTAAAGAAGAAATTGATTGAAATGTATTCACCGTGCAATTTTTTTTATATTTTATCTAATTATGAGAATTATTAAATTTTATAATAATTAATTAAAAAATTTGTATTTATTGTGTATTCTAATTAGTTTATTGTTAACTAATAAAAAAAACTATAAACAGATTTAATTTTGATCCACTATCAATATAAATATTTATTTTATTATCAACCCATTAAAATACATTTAAAGTATGAATTTTGAATTAATTATCTTAAAAGTCAATAATTATAACTATTACAATGATTCATGATTGAATAATACTGTAATACTATAAAAATTTATATGGTCACCACATCTTATTTAAATTTTATTAAAAAAAATATATACTTTAATAATATCTATTGAAAAAATTAGTTTAATTTTTAAGATGGATGGCGTTATGATAATTAATACATAAAAAAGATCAAAAGTATTCTTTTCAGCTAAAAGAAATTTAGAAGAATTAATTTTTATATTGCAAATCTAAACACTTCTTAAATACGAGAACATCTTCTATTTTTATTTTTCGTTATAATTATTAGTTTTATTATTATTTTACACTTTTTATATTTTAAAAATGATTAAAGTACAAAATATTTAATTTTTGTTGTTGAAAATTTCCTCTAAATTTAAACATTCATTACTTTTTGTTTTTCACATTAATATTTCCTTATTAATATCAAACGTCATTTTATCGTTCTTGCACCAGAAAATCCTTTTATAGTTTTAAATTATTTTTTAAAATTTATTATTTTCTTTCTTAAATATAAATGAATTATATTTCCTATTTAAATTGAAAAAACGCGTCGTCCGTGGATTGCTTGAGATGAAGTTGGCGGGAAATATAAATTGGTTTAATAGTTACTGTAATTTAAAAATGGATAAAAACACCTCATTTGATCCCTTAAAACTAAATGTCACATCACATTAATTTTTTAAAAGTTTGGATAATTAAATTAATTTTTAAATATTTAAAATGATATTATATTAATTATCTTAATACTTGCATTAAACTAGTCTCTTAAAAGTTAGTTTATTGTAATTTAGTCTTTTAAGTATTTAAAATATTACTATATTGTCTTTATGAAAGACTAAAGTGGTGACAAATAAAAAAATTTTGAGGAGCAAAGTTAGTTATAAAGCTTTTGCAAAATGAAATTAGTGACAAAATTAATATTTAAGAACTAATATGATAATAAATTTAAAAAACACTAATGTGACAGTGTTGTAATTTTGAAGGATTATATTAACAATTTTTTATTTTTAAAAACTAAGAGTATGTATTCAAATTGGTGTTCTAAAGGGTATGAATATGCAATTTAATTTTAAAAATTTTAAAAATTATTTGGTAATTCTTACATCTATAAAAAGATATTCACTTTAATTTATTTATTTTATAAGTTCATTTAAAAAAAAATAAAAAAGTGTTATTTTATAAAATCAAGAAATAATAAATACTTAAAAACTAAAATACCTGATTTATATAATATTAGACATTAATCAAAAGGTTTACTCAATGTTCTTAGTTATCATTCTTGATTTTGAATTGTATTGACGAATATTTAGATGAATATTGATAATTAAAATTTATTATATATACACACTTTAATTGACTTTTTAGTTGTTAGATATTTGTGTAATCTTCGCTACTAAGTGGGAAAGTGATGAAAAATGTTACCATGCCTATGATCATATAGTTGAAGAGGAAAGCTTGTCAAGTCAAGGATTACCAGAAATTTGTAATAAGTGCTTTAAAAACTGAAGATAAAGTTAGTGGCCAATCTGTATTGTAATTTTATGCTCCTAATCCTACCACTCAAAAGGTTAAGAAAGGAAGTCAACATCTTTTTGTATACATTTACAAAATATTACTTTATCTATATATTTTATTATAATATATAGTTTTTTTTTTAACAAAATGCTATGTGTCAAATAAATAAAGCTATTTTTTAATATTATTAACTACATTACTTAATTGCACGGTAACATTCTGTCATTCATCTTCTTATTCAACCTTACATTTTTCAACAACTTTTTAAATCTTAATAAGAATTTTTAAAATCTTTTATACCTTCTTTTAATTTACACTCCATTAAAAAAACTGAATAAATTAAAAGCCTTTATTTTTAGTTTTATTTAATTTTTCAATTTCGTTTTCTCAGTCTATTTTTATTGTAGATAACAAAGTAGGTGTTTTCCATAATTGTTAAAATTTAATAAACTTTATCACTTTTTCCTTCAAGACATAATTTTATAATTCTATAATTCATATTTAATTATATTTTAGATTTTATTTTTATTTACATATGCATATCATGATTAAGACTTACGCGATGAACCCTAAACCTTAAACTACATTAGAATAATAAAAAAAAAAAAAGTATTCAAAATTTCATTTTTCATGAATGTTTTTATAAGCGTAGTTAGTAAGTTAACTTTATTAGAAAAAAAAATTGAAAGGAGGTAGAATGAGAAATGGGATGATCATGTACCTCTTAATCTATAGTCCAAAAGGAATACAACACGAATTATGTACTAATATAAAATTAAAACGATTAAATCTTAAAATTTTAATTCAAAATTATTACTCAAATTGTTACATGTATGGATTAATTTTTAAAATTTATTTTCATTAATTTTAATTATTTTGAATATTAATAATGACATCTATTACTGTTAATTTAAAATTTTATCTTTATTTTTTAACTAATTTTTATTAATTTGAAATTATTTATTTTTAAACACTGAATATATATATATATATATATATATATAATTTGTTATAAAATACTTTCTCCGATTTTTTTTATTAGAAATAAAATGAAACATTTTTTTTATCTTTATTATAAAAAATAAATGATAAATTCAAAATACATTAATTGTTAAATTTTTTTTATATCTTTTTTTTATTATTATCATTAAATATACAAATCATTAACTACATTATTTAATATCATGAATATTTTTAGAATAAAATTTATATTTATAAAAAATATAACATAATTAATTATTTTTTTTAGTTCTAGTAATTTAATCTTTTATTTATTATAAAAAGTATTGGAGAAAATATTTACAAATAAAAACTAAATATTATTTTAAGCATCACTTTGTCAAGGAATAGTCAACATTCATTAAACATCATCATTAATATATATATATATATATAATCTCTGTTTCTTCCATTAACCAAATGATAATATGTAATAATCCCACATTTTGAGTAACTTATTAATTCCTTATTTAAAAAATTTATCGTCAAAGCTTAAACATGAATTAGCATTCTCACAAGGTACTTACTTATATTAAAGAGTCTTATAAAAATAAAATTAATTTGTTGAATATAAATACTTTATAAATTATTTTTACCTGCCCCTCTATTTTTATATGATCAAAGAGAAAAAAGAACTAAGCTACTAAGGTTAATGGTCAATGGCTGAATTTGTTGCACTTTGACTTGAGTTCCATTTCAAATAATTGTTTTTTTTTTTTTCACCAAAATTTGCGTGTTGGTGTAATTAATTCTACTGAAAGCATGACGCACACGCAAGAAAGGAAAGAGAAAGGTTTAAGTAATAAGAAAAAAAGAAAAAAATTATTGTTGACGAAAAAATTTCAATTTAAGAGAATTTAAAAATATAAATTTATAAAAAAGTTTACTTAAATTTAAGAATTTTTAAACAAAGATTATCATCAAATAAACTTTTTTTTCCTTTCTTCTCTAAAATTAACTTTTAAACAAAATCTTAGATATTTATTGTTATTCTTTAAATAATTTTTGTTTAAAGTACTTTTTCCTTTTCTTATAGCTATATTAATAAAAAAAACTCATAAATATTTCTTAAACAAAAGACCTAATCCTACACTTCAACTTGTTTTGCACGTATGGTAGACATTTTAGTCAAATGTGCGTTTTCACCTGTATCAACATTCCAAATTCAATCCAATTTTCAAGTGTATTGAATGCATTTTTAATTTAGGGATACACATTTTTTTTTTTACTTTTTTATATGTACTTAGGGATTAAAAAATTGTTAACAAAAATTAAATTACTGACCATTTATTTGGCAGTAATTTTAATTTTTAAAAAATATGATAACAAAAACAAAGCCATTAATGACATGATCACTTTTGGTATTTGTGCAACAATTTTTAAAATTAATGATTTGACATAAATAAATAAAATATATGTAAAATTAATAAATATTTGCCATTTGTAAGCTTCATTTCAGTCATTTGAACTATTCCTTTACGTATCATAAAAGAATCATTTTAGCTTTCTGTAACATGTTTTGAACTTGCTGTATTAAAGATTGTTCCCTTTATGCAATTCTAGCAACTTTTATCCTTGTTTTTATTTCAAGTATAAGTTAAAAATATTTTGTTTTCATCTTTTACATGAGTTTATCTACGTTATATTTGATAAAATGAGCTGAATTTTAGATATAAAGCTAACTAAAAGTTATAAATTTGTAATTGAAAATTTATCATGATATAAATTATTTGACAAATAAGTTCGGTAACTAGTTAATTTATGTTAAATAACTTAAAAAAATAAATATTAATATAATACTAAAATTAATTATTACTTATTTTATTTATTTATGATTGATCAATTATATAAAATTCATATATGTTTGAACACAAAATATTCTAAAATATATATTTTTAATATAAAAATAAATGTAAATAAAATGGATAGAAGAAAAAAAATAAAAAAGTAAAACTGCTGTGAAAGTGAAGAGAAAAAAATTATATACACGGACTTTTAAGCATGTAACATGTAAGTTATCTTTCTAAAAATATAATAAAAATATTGATTAAATTTTAAAAATTAAACTTTATTTTAGATAACTTTTGAAAAATATAATTTTTAAAAACTACAAACTTTTTTTTATTTAGTAAATAATGAATAGAAATTAAATTAAGTAAAGATGTTAGGATATATAATTTATATTTTATTTAAAATAAAAGTGAATAGAGTACAGATCTATTTGAGTAAACTTTTAGAAAAGTTATTATAATAAAAAAATTAGTATAAATAATGAATAAAAAAGTATAACTTGTTTATAAATTATTTTTAATTTATGAAAAAAATTATTTTTTTTTTATACAAAATTTTCTCATGTCAAATATTTTTCTAAAATTTGACCTAAATATAACTATAGTTTAGAAAAGCATGCAATTAATATTATTTTTATCATACATGACTTCATTGACTTGATAGCTAATGGTTATTATTAAGTGAGAAGATGTATAACAATTGGATATTCAAATGAACTAACCCTTATGTTTGATTAAATAATTGGGTGTACTGTTAAGTTTGTTGATAAATAAACTAACCCTTTTAACACTTGTATGTTATATTTGTTAGTTTGATAAATAAGTATGCATAAGACATGGCTTATTTAAGTAGATATACCAAAATTATTGATATTTGTTGGTTGTGTGACTATATTGTATAGGTTACATTGTTGATTACATCTAGAATTAAAATTGATTGTTAGTCTTAAAACTAGAATGGGGTGTATATGATAGTGTTAAATCAGGTAAACTAAGTCTTAAACAAGATTGAAGTGCTTGTGAAGCAAACAAGGAATTAGACATTATTTATTGTATGAAAATTAGATCTCCAAGAGCATTAAATGCATATGTACACAATTGTTGGCTAATGAGAAGGTTAAGATTCGTTAGTATAGGGATGTGTTTGTGTAAAGTTACTATATTTGGATTAAGCATATAATGAAGTGGAACCCCACATTGATTTTAGTTTAGCGAAAATTAGAAGATTTTGGACGATCCCAAATTTTAGACTATGGACATCATCAACTTGAAATTCACAAAATACAAGATTATTCGAATATATTAATTTCGCATTAAAACATAGTCAATTTGTATTTATTTTAATGTTATTAGTTATAATGTTTACGATAGATTGATGTATGTATTTTGAAAGAATTCAATCATTTGATATGTTTTATACTGTTAACAGATTATAAATATATTTTGTTAATACTTCTCTCAACACATTTAATTGAAAAAATAATTTAAGACCTCCAACACGAAAATTCTCATTAAATCGTGCATCCTCATTCAAAATTTTAATTTTTTATGATTCAAATAAAACAATAAGAAGAAAGAGAGGGTAGATAATTATAATAAAAGGTAAAATTAATTAATAATATAGTGTTAAAAAAATTAGATAGATATTAAAAAATTAATTAATAATACATAGTTTAAAAGGTAAAATTATTAAGAAAATTATAACAATAAACTAATTGGAAATATGATAGTAATTATTATGTTGATATAAAATTTATTTCAAAGTCACATAAAAATATAAAAAATTCAATAAAGTTATTACAATAAAAAAGATTGCCTAAAAAATTATTAATAATACACTTTTTAACATACTTTTAATTAGTATTTAGTTAAATCGTATTAAAAATTTATAAGAACCACTTTTAATTTAATATTTATTTTATTTTAATAAAATTTATTTAAATAATTTTTTAGTTTTTAATAAATTAATAGTTAAAATATATTTTTAAAAATGTATTCCTAACGTTTCTAATTAAAAAAAAAAATTTTTGCTTTTAATTATTCTTGAACCTAAAATTGTTTACTGGGCTAGCTCAGCCGCCTAGGTGTTCTTGTTTATGTTTTTGTCAACATCTTTATGGGTTGATTAAACTTTTCAAGCCCAAAGGCCCAGGCCTTCGTGTTTTTTAATTAACGAAATTACAAATTAGATCTCATTTAAATAAGATGTATTAAATTAACTAATATTTATACAATTAAAATTAATTTAAATAGTAAATATTAAAATAAAAATATAATTTAAATAGAAAAACTAAATAAATTTACTTTTTAAATATATAAACTAAATTAAATGATAATATTATTTTAGAGAATAAATTAATATTTACTACCCATAAAATGGAATTAGGGTAATCTTATTTGCTTTAAAAATCTTATACCTACAAATCTATTGGTCTTGGAAAATCCAAGAAATCAATTCTTTCAAAATTGTGTATAAATTTCCTTTACCGTTAAATTTTATCACACAATCAATTTTAGTTTGAAAAAAACAAAAACAAAAACAAACTAACATTTTAAACTATTGAAAGTATTTTTTTTAAAATTAAGTTGCTTTACATAACAAATTATTTCATCTTAAATAAATAAATCAGATACAATATTATATTAAAAATTAAATTAAATTAAATACAAATAAAATAACATACACAAATAGCAAGTGAAAAAGTGCTGACTTGGATTGAGAGTGATGGTGGACTTGCAATTTGTCATGAAATATGAGACGTGTATTTGGCAAATGAGTGAAAAAGGTAGAAAGAGAAAGATCTTTTTAATGCCACAAAGAGGTTGTGGCTGTGAAGCATTGTTGCATCTGATGTAGCAACACAATCAAACCACACACACTCACACGTGTCAATCTCTCTCTACAACTTTTCAGATATACCCAAAAAAAAATTTTTAAATAAAAAGGGGCTTTTTAAGTTTTATCCTTAATAGAGAAATAAATTAAATAAAAAACAAAGAAACCGATATGTTGGAAGCGAAAGACCCGGCGATCAAGCTCTTCGGGAAGACGATCCCGGTGCCGGAGATCCCTGCCGGATCCGGAGACTCTGCTGGAGCTCCGGCTTCGTCTTCTGGTGATGGTGTTGATGTTGATGACGATGGTGCTGGTCAGAACCGTGATTCTTCCGGCAACTCTTCTGATGCTAACAGGGATGGTGAAGAGCGCGAGATTGAACAGGTTTGAAAACCTTTTTATTTTGAGAGTGACCCATTATTGGAAATGCGAAAAGATTTAGTGGGTCAGTGTTAGTTTTTTGGCTTATTGGCATTGGATGGAGATTCTGTTGACTCGCTGTTGTGTATTTTATTTTTATTTAAAGGGGTTTAGTGTTCTGTTGATTTTTGGGGTTTGTTCTATAAGATGTGTTAATTGATGGGTTTGTTTCAAGTTTATGATTTTCTTTTCGGTGGTGCTAGTGTTCTTCATGCTATCTTTGACTTGCTTATGTTGGAGTTTCTGAAATGGCACTGCATAAGCATTTGGATTGATTCTTCAGTTGCTTTGTTATTCAGCCAGCTTTTGAAACTGCAGCATGTGTTTAGCATTATTTGAGTGGTTTTCAATTTGTTTCTGAGCATACATGTTTGTATAATTTCTGTACTTGCTGGTTCTTGGACACTGATGAGATCCATTTGTGTGCTTGTAGTTCAGCTTGTAAACCATTTTTAGTGTGTTTAATATGAACAGCTATAGACATTAATCTGATTTTCTCTAATCTTTCCAGCAACATGTGACGAATAGTAGATAATTCTTCTGGTTCATAATTCATTTTATCGAGCAGTTGTAGGATGCTTTTGAAAAATGCTTTTTCTATTGGACTTTTCAGTTTTCGTATACCAGTCTTTCTAAATCTGGAAGAGAAGCGTTGGCAGGCGCTGTCTTACTGTTTTGAGCTCAATTTAGTATACTTTTACTTTCTGCATTTGTTTTCTGGTTTGTTAAATTCATGTCTATAACCACAATTAGCCTTGTCTTCTTGTGAGTTTACAATTGATGTTCTATCTTGTTAGGGAAGATAATGAGCTGTAGCTACTCAGCTCATGGTTCTTCAACAAACTAAATACTATTCAATTTTGCTGCTTAAGAATCCTCTTTGACTACCTTTTCAATTATGGTCGTATCACTTGGGTTTAGCCAGGCAGTGATTAGTTTTGGATGATAATATTTTCAGCCTCACCCTTTTGAGGAAATACTGGAATGACATGTTTGTGGTTGAACTTGAAACACATCAAATTCAGGATTTTGAAAGTTGACATTGCACCATGGGTCCTAAACAAGTGATGGATTTTTGTTTGTTAATTATATGCTGGTACTGACTTTGATGTTGTTGTTGCTGTGGTACTGACTTTGTTTTCTTCTAATGAAGTGGCTTTTGAAGCAGCAATGTCAATATTATTGTTATTTTTTCTGTTTTTACAAGTTGATTTTCAGTCAAAGAATCTGTGGCATAAGTATTGCTTTTAATATTTGTAGTTATTTTGTTTGACTCGGACAAACATCTGTAATTGCAGGAGGCAGAAATTTAGCACAGTGAAAGTATTTGAGTGATCCTTTTCATAACATTATTGTATTGCTGTTTTCATGAATTCAGGACACAATTGGAGAGGAACCAACTGAGACTAAGAAGGAAGATGCGCCCCCCATCCAATCATCATCAGAAGTAACCAATATAGATACTGTCTCAAAATCAGGGGAAGAGTCTATTGACCCCTCCACTGGGAAGGAGACTGTTACATTGAAAACTTCAAAAAAGAATGAAGAACAGGGTGAAAATTCTCCAGATAAGACCCTGAAAAAGCCTGACAAAATACTGCCATGCCCACGCTGCAATAGCATGGATACCAAGTTCTGCTACTACAATAATTACAATGTCAACCAACCCCGACATTTCTGCAAGAAATGCCAGAGATACTGGACTGCTGGTGGAGCCATGAGGAACGTGCCTGTGGGTGCCGGTCGCAGGAAGAACAAGAACTCTTCTTCTCAGTATCGTCAAATTACCGTCCCTGAAGCATCACTCCAGAATCCTCAGCCAGACTTGCCAAATGGAGTTCATAATCCTTCCTTGAATTGTAATCCCACAGTCCTTGCAATTGGATCTGATACACCCTTGTGTGAATCAATGGCATCTGTTTTGAACCTTGCTGATAAAGGCACAAACAATTGCACAAGAAATGGATTTAACAGACCAAAAGAAATAGGAATTCCTGTTCCATATTTTGGCGGAGAAAAAGGAAATGATGGTTCCAATAAATCTTCTGATACATCAACAAAGCCAATGGAAGGTGAAACCACCAATAGGTCCCAAGAACAAGTTATACAGAATTGCCATACGTTCCCACCTCACGTTCCCTACTTCCCTGGTGCCCCTTGGCCTTTCCCATGGAATCCAGCACAGTGGAGCTCTCCTGTATCACCACCTGCCTTTTTCCCACCAGGATTTACTGTGCCACTCTATCCTGCAGCAGCTTATTGGGGTTTTACTGTACCAGGTGCATGGAACGTCCCATGGCTAGCACAACCATCATCACCAAATAATACAGTCCCTAACTCTGGTCCTAACTCCCCAACCTTGGGTAAACATTCTAGGGAAGAAAACATGCTCAAATCAAACGACACAGCCGGTGAGGATGAACATGGTGAGGGAAATAATAAAGAGAAGAGTCTTTGGGTTCCAAAAACATTGAGGATTGATGACCTAGGGGAAGCAGCAAAAAGCTCTATCTGGACAACTCTTGGGATTAAAAATAGTAAAGCAGACTCAGTTCCTGGGGAAGGACTCTTTAAAGCATTTCCATCAAAGGGTAGCGAAAAAAATCACGTTACACAAAGCTCACCGGTCTTGCAGGCCAACCCAGCAGCATTGTCTAGGTCAATTAACTTCCATGAGACCTCGTAGTCCTGTAGCTTATGAATTTGTTGTTGTTTCTGTGATCTAGTAAATGAGTCCACTGACATGGCAGTGCTCCATTGTTCTTGAGGAAGTTGCAAATTGTAAAGACACATGGTTCACCAGCCATTTTTTGGTAAGAGTTAGTTCTTCTTCTTGGTCAAGGGAAGAAGTTCAGAAGATGGTTCTTCCTACATTTGCTTTGAGGAGAAGGGAGCCTTCTCTTTGGAGAGTATCTTCCCTTAGGCGGCAGCGGCTAGGCAATTTTACACTCTCACCTTTCATTTAGATGTCTTTCTTAGTTCATGTACATATTTAAGTTTTTTTGTGGCATGATGGACACTATTTTTGTATTCCAAGATCACATGTATGTAAATAAGAATGAGAGTTCAATTGCACTTTTGTTCTGCTATATTTCTTTCAAAATGTAACCCTTTATTTTTCTTTGATTCAGGCTGTTTCCTTGGTATATATACATCTTGTATACTGTTATCAATTAAGCCTAATGAACTTAGGAAATGTCTTTTTAGTTGAATTTATTTTATAGCTTGGTTTAGAGTAGTAAAGATCTTGATATAGAGGACCAAGTGTCACAAACTAAGACATTCATGTTTGGAAATATAATAAAATAACATTAAACTTTGTGGCGTTGAAATATATCCACATTTAAGTGGATTTGATGCAGAACTAAACACAATATGTTTATGATCAATTTGAAATCTACCTAACTATCAAACTGTTTAAACTTAAGTGTTTATGATGCTTAAATGTAATAAACAGCTTTAAAGATTTTTTAAAAAAATTTCTATGGAGATTCTGGCTCCATATATGTCCATTATTAGTGTTTCCACCTTTTGGTACAACAAATAACATCCAAAGTTGGAAAATTAAAACTTGTGCAGTTATGGTATTTGGTGAAGTATTTGATAGAAATTGCTTGTGTTGAAGGGTAAGAAAAATGCTTCATTGCATTGCACATATGCGAAAAGCACACCAATTAACATGTAGGTGTATGTGACGGAACCATTAACAACGTGGAATTAACTATAATCAGATGATGAAAATTGAATAAAGGTGAGGCGATGTTTGTATAAATATGCCTAGTTATACTTGAAACGCTATTTTTCTGACAAAGGAAAAGTGAAATCTCCAAAATATGGAAGTGTTATTTTTCATTAACGAACCGCAACTTTCCATCGACATAGTTTAACTATTAATTTCTTTAATTACCATTTAGGAATTTCACCTCAATTTTGCCAGCTATTATAAATTTTAGCCATTGCCCTGATCATTATATTCGTATTAAAATAGCAAATTAACATATGAAATGTTTTCTTAAGTGGCTAAGCATTTTCTTTTTGTCAGAAATTCTATCCTTTACATCCATAATACAAACTTACAAATGCAAATTTATTTTTTAAATAATTCTATTAATTGACTGATTTACATATACAAATTTAATCATTATAGATAATACTGATTTAATTTTAGATGAAAACTTTGTTTAAAAAAGTACAAAGTAAGAATTGATTTCCATGCATGAGTGTGCTACTAACAAAGAATTTTTATTTTTGGTCAGCTACTAAAAAAGAAATCAAATATCAAATTAGCCTCCAGCAATTGGGCATGGATTTGCAAACCCAATTAGAGATCCTTAATCTGAGCATAAAAGAACCAAGACACTAACATATGCAAACTATCCACCATCCTGTCCAATACTCCTAAGTACTTCTCCATTAGTTGTTGGACTTTTACTTTTGGTCTCTTGTTTTAGTGTGTTTTGAGCTTTGGTCTTTGTTTTCTTTGCCCATGATCTACCGTTGTCCGAAAACAAAGGGCCAATATTTTCTAGAAATCAAATTGGGCAATTTGTCAACCAAAAACAAGTGGGGCCACTATTGATTTTGTGATAAAGGTTTTGATGGTCTAACTTTACAAGCTTGCAACACAGTGTATCATATTACTACTAAATATTTTACAACCATAATTTAGTTAATGAGATCAATATTTGGGTTATTACTTAATAGTTATCTAAAGCAAAAGAATCCATTTAATTAGTCAGAGTTTTAATTTAAAATAAAATATCAAATTTTTTTCTCACTCAAGCCTGAAATTCATATTCGTTATTGTGTTCATTAAAATTTTGTAAATAATTTGATAATATATAATCAAACATTCATAAATAATCTCACTAACATGAATTAGAGTTATATAATTTTATACATACGGTGGGATATGAAATTTCAACATAAATAATTGAAAATCACTTAAATAGAGTCATTAATATGCAAGTACAGTGAATTGATGTATAAAAGAAATTAGAAAATAATAAAAATGCACATGCATAAAGGTATTTAATAATTAAACGATCTTGCAAGATTTGTACCCACATTACTACTATATGATGATCAATCATATCCATTTGAAGCAATTGGGGATACTTTAGTAATAGAAATGGACTTACCTGTTACACTATTTTTGCACCCATATCACTTAAACCCAATCAACTTTAATCACCCAAAACTAAATAAGTAATGGAAATTATGACACTTCAACCACCTCTTAGTGCCTATCACATTAGACAATGGACATTTCATATAAGCATAAACTGGCTTACAGCTTGCCTAGGATTGTGATATGTTCGAAGTGACTCTGATGTGAACCATTTCTTTCATATTTCAAATGAAAGATTTTGCTTATTTCCATAATCTTTCATGATTAGTGCATGTTGGCATGGGTACAATCGTTAATTCATGCATAACTAATTTATAAATTTTTATTTCTCTCTTAATTTTTGTAATATATTTATTTTAGAACTGTTTGGTGGACGTAAATTGTAAGTGTGTGAATACGAGAGAAAAATATAAATCGTCTTTAAGAGAAAGTACGAGAGAGAAAAGAAGACATCTTAAGAAAAAGACAAAAAATAACAACGAAGAAAAGTTACAATATTGATTGGTTAGTTTGTATAATATATGCATTAAGATTCTGGTATTGTTGTAATTTTCTTTCTTGTTGTTATAGCTAAATACTGTTGAGGATTTGTTGTGTTGTTATCTATTTTATAGCTAAATATCGTTGATGATTTATTGTGTTGTTATCCACTATACTAGTGAAGTTTGTATTTTTATTGGTAAAATTTGTATTTTGTGTTGGAAGATTGTAGTGTATCTATTAAATTTATTAGGAGAGAATTTTGCTGAACTAGGTACCGTGGATTTTTACCTTTCATTCATAGTTTTTCCATGTTAATAATTTTGTTCTTCCTATTTACTTTTTCTATTCTATGTTTACTATCAATTGCTTAAAAATTGTGTAGAGCCAATTTTAATTGCACAGTAAGAAAAGAGAGATCCAATTTGCTTTCTCGTGTTATTGTTATATTTAATATCTTTTTCAACAAGAAATATATATTTCAATTATTTTTTTACTGATGTAACATTGCATATAATAAAAAATAATAATAAAAGGTAATTTTTTAATTAGAAACTATAACATTAAAAAATATCAATGTGTTAAAATATATAATTTCTAATAAAAAATTATTATAAATTTTTATTATGTGTAATATTATAAATATTAAAGATTTTGATATTTAAAAACTAAAAGATCTAATTGAATCAAAATAAATTTAATTATATCCAATTGGATTGAATTTATCGTTATTTTTAAAGCATCTAAACTTAATCACAATATATTTTTATCGGATGAAATAAATTTTCTTTTATTAATTCAATTCAATCTGGAAATATCGCACTGACTTTTCTTGTATTTTATTGACAATTTTTTTAACCGGTAAATTTTACGTTATAAGAACTAATTTATAATCATTTTTTATTAAATATTAAAAAAATAAATATAATTTAATGTATATATATATATATATATATATATTTAACACATGTTTATAGTCCCTTAAAATATATTATTCTTTTAGTTTTTATAATTTTGAAAACGATTAATTTTAGTCTCTATTACTGGACTTTATTTTTTGAAAAAAAGAAAATTAAAAGACTTATGTGATGGTTGAAACTTTTAGATGAAAGGTGATAATTTATAAATCTTTTAAATCCCTTTAATCCTATATTTTTAAATTTTTCTAAATTAAATTAAAAAATTTTGTATTAACTTTAGTTTTTACTTTTCAAACTCTTCTCTTCATTCTCTTTTTAATCTTTCAAACAAAGTCTTAAATTAATTACATTATTATTTAATCGTGAGTAAAGATCAAAATCCATAAGTTCAAAATGTAAGGTTTAAAATAATTTTTTATAAAAAATATTTTATATATTTTAAGAAACTATAAATATATTTAATTATTTTATTTTGTGTACTGTAATTTTGTAAAAGTTAAAAAATAAATTGTGATACATCAGAAGTAATCTTTTGATAAGGAATTTCCATTAATACATCATATTTGGGATTCAACATGAAAATTATTATAAAAGCACAAAAACCTTGATCACGTATCTCGTTCCTTTAATGCTTTGTTAGAAAATTGGTTAGTTTTGTTTTTTTAGAAAATTTCTTTGATTACAATCTTTATTTACAAACTTTTAGTCGAGAAATAGAAGTTTTTTAAACTCTTCAAAACCTTTTAAATTATTTTTAAAAATTTTTAAATTTAGATTTTTTTTAATTCATTTTTCTTCCCTTTTACTTTAAATTTCTAAACAAAAACTTAGATTTCATTTGAGAGTTAGTTTTTTTTTTAAAAAAAAAGGTTTAAAATTTTTTTAGATGAGAGGATAAAATTTCATAAATTTTCAAAAATTCTCTTAAATTTATATTTTTAAATCTTTTTAATTTAAAATTTTATTTTATTAATCTTTTTTCTTCTTCCCTTCGCTTCTTTCTCTAAGCTCTCAAATAAAATAACACAAGCACCATTAAGATAAGAGGTAATTGAGACAATCACTAGAATATTTGCTCAGTGAGTGGGAAAATAAAATAAGCAAACAAACAAAGGCAAAGCTAACTTCAAACATACTAACTAAGAGAAAGAAGGCATGAAAGACTAGGATAAGTTCCCAGAAAATTGTATGCCTTTAATAAGTTTTATTTATTATTAATTTAAGCTATTAAGTGATAAATTTTAATACAATAACATTTCAATAACTTTGTTTTGTCACCTTAAAATTAATTTTTTACTAACCAAATACTTACTAAACATTTCTATGTTTATATCTATGCTAGTACTAAGGTACTTTAATAATTTTTTCTATTAATAAATATATTAACTACCTACTTATAACTATTTATCACCAAATTTTCTTAAGTAACCAATATTTTAATTATTTTCATATCGTGGAGACTTGAAGTGATTTACCAATTTGTTGTCTTGATTTACTTTTATAAAGAAGATGCTAACAAAAAGAAATCAGTATCCCCTAAAAATATTAAATTATGTCAAAAGATTATATTTATTTTTTAATTTGAATATGTTTATTACTAAATCCTATTTAAAAATAATTATATTGTAAGTTGTATTAAATGAGTTAATAATATTATCTATTAAAAAAATAAAATTTCTTGATTATAAAATGTTGATAAAGTATTTTTATAATTAAAAAATTACTTCAGTAAAATAAATATTAATACATTATATTAGACTAATTCGTAGAAACAGTCATGCTTAATGAACCTTTGGCCTTACTTAAAAAGAATCAAACATGTGCTGCTTGAATCAACCTTTGTTGATTTATGCATAAAATCATTTAGGTGAATTAATTAACCTATTTCATAATAAGCACTCACAAGTAGTTATGTACTTATTTTGACTATTTTTTTAATGAGGTATCATATATAAAAGATTTTGATTGTCTTTATTATAAGGCATGCTATAATTCCTATGAAATATTTATTATTATTTTTATAAATATTTTTAATGTATGTCCCACATATAATAAAAACTTAAATATAATTTTTTTATTAAAAATTACAAAATTTCGCAACAGCTCATTGATAATATGAAATGATATAATTTTTAATAATAATAATAAAAAATACTACGTAGAAACATGTACGTGTTAGTTATATTGGTAACTTTAATTGTATTTTTTGTCACCGATGAATGGTTATGCTTTAGAAGAATAATTCTTTTAACTGTTCATCAAAATTTTTGCTAAAAAATCCACACTCATCAAATTTTTGTACTTTAAAATTCATAATGAATAGCAATTCTGTTTCTTATTATGTGCTCTTAGATACAGATTAATTTTCTTATTTATCTTTTAGTAAATGAAAGTAATTAAAATACAAATTAAAATAATTAAGAATAAATATTAATAATGAGATTAAGTTTAATAATATTAATATAAAGATAAAATTGAGATGTATATTTTAAAAATATTAACTAACATGTATAATTGAATTAAAAATTTCTTATAACCTTAAAATTCAATCAATTAACATGTATAATTTAGTTAAAAATTTCTTGTAAAAAGAGTTAGAGGGAGTAATATTTTTACACAGACAAAGCATCAATTGACATTCTTCATGCAATAATAATTGAAGTACAAGAAGAATATAATTCTTAATTATTATTTAAGATGATCTTTCTAAATATAGCAAGAAAGAATCCCATTTGCTAAATTGCAATATTGCTACTAAACAGATGTAGCCTTGAGGCCTAGCCTAGCATAAATTAAGGTAGCAATTCATCTGCAAAAATTCTTGCAACACACTAAAGGGACAAAACCACCTATGTAGTGGCTCAATATTGACACGTCTACACTATTCGACTATGGCTTAGCTCTTCTTTTTACTATAATCTTACAATGCAATGCTAGCACCCAACTTTGTGAAATTGATGTTGTTCCATCAACAAGGGTTGGTTAGTAGCGGAACTGTCTGCCAGTGTAGGTCTGTCCAAAGGCCCAATTAGGTGGTGCAGCATTGTATGAGATCACACTGAGACCATCACTAGTGGTGACTACAAATGAAAGGCTTTGCCCATTCAGGTAGGAGTTGCTCTGCCAATTTTGGCCCCAATTTCTTGACATGGCTTGCCATCTAGTTCTTGAACCTTTTATGGCTACAGAATGCACATCACCAGCACCACCAACATTAGTCACTAGGACTAAATTGAAGTAAGAATGACCATTGATGGTGAACCTGATTCCACCTCTTCTTCTGCACCTTACCCTTCAGACAAAATTAATTCCATGAAGAAAAAAATGTTAGCTTCTTAAGGGAACTGTCTTGTTAACTGATGTTCTTAAAATACTGATTAAGTTAACAAATATAACATTTTTATTAGAAAAAGTAGACGTATATTAAAAATCATGATCGGAGTACATTAATAATACTTTTAATATAAGTTTATTTTAAATATTTTAACCAGTGTTTTAAGGGTAGTGGTTAACATTTATCAGAGAGTAAAAATGTTTGTACAACTTAATTACACTTTGCACACACTTCTTCATTTGATACCACACCTCACATTGTTACTATTGTTACTTCTTGGTTAGTTGTCGAAATTGTGGACACACTTCACATGCTATATACTATGCAAGTATCTTTAAGAATAAAGAAAACTGTGAACACTAGATTACCTTCTGTAAGCTACAGGAACAATACCAGCTTTATATTGAGCAATTTGCTGAAAAACAGGTTGAGATAGATCAAAATGGTGATTGGGAGGATCACACCAACCACCAGGAGGGCAGAAATTAGTGGCAGTGACTACAATGAAGCCAGGGAGGCACCATTGTGGATCATTTACACATTTAATTTCGTAGCATGCTCCACAGCTCAAGCCATTGTTGAATAAGGCAGTGCTGAGTGCTGCTGTGTTAGTCCCATAACCTTGACTGTACAAGTTTCCATACCCACAAGCCCCACCTGCAATATCATCGCATATATATGTATATGTCTTACTTAGCAAATTATATAGACCCTAAAGCTCAATTTTGGCAAACATACTTGTTAGACTTCACTTATTCATACAAAGAATTTATATAAACATAGATACATTCATCATACATACATACATACCCATTGTCCCAGAAGCATCATTGCCTCCATAGAATGTGGCATGTGCATTAGTCCATCCTCCAATGTTTCCATAAGCATTAGCATAAGAGATCATGAAGATACATCCCAGAAATAAAAGGCCAAGATGAGACATTTTCCTACATAAATGCAGCAGAGAAGCAGTCACAATTCATTCAGCAACAATGTGTAGATAGTGCACTAAATGTGACTAGCTAGGTGCACAAATTAATGGAGGTAGCAAGTAATAACAATACTCCAAATTGAGAGAAAACATAAGGAAGACAATTAATTACATGAAGCTGAACCTTGAAAGGGGTTGTTTGGGGAAATTGAGGGGGAGGATTGGTGATGGAATAAATAGGGGTCAGTCAACATCAAACCTGACACATTTTGAGGTGTTGGGACCATGCAAGTGCAGATAACTGTGAGAGAGTAAGCGCCATTGGGACTCTGGTTTATGGAAACTGTGCTTTTCAAAGGGGATCAATGCATTTACCATACAAAATCAAATGAGTCAAATGGAATCAATCCACTGTGAATGAGGCTTTATGTATTTGTCTTCTTGCCTATACGTGTATTTAAAAATACATTAAAATATATCTATGAACATAAATTTAATGCTCAAGTTATAATTAATCACATTATAATAATTACAAATGTATGATTATTTACATATAAATCTAAACACACACTACATTTCTTGTGATAATTGCACTGAAGTACATAACATAGTCAAAATTATTTTTATGGAACTGTTGCCACTAATCATTTTACAATTTTCTAACCAAATCTCTCAAATATTAAATAAAGTATTAAATCTTAGAAATAATTTCATTGCTTGTGAGGTGCATAGTTACATATATTTATCGTCTCTTTGTATTTTAGTGGATGAGAGTCTCATTTGTACTGCTATCAAAGCAGACTAGCAGATTTTTCACTACATATAATATTCCTTGCAGTTCCATATAAATTAGTGCTAATTAAAAGCATTTTTTTTTCTCATTTTTCACGGGAATGTATTCTTAGTAAATATAGGGTTTATTTCCAATAAAAATTCAAGCTATGATTGGCTACTTTGTGGAAGATTAGTCCCATATACTAGACCTCTATTGATAAGCAAAGTTGAATCTATGTGTATGTGAAAAGAAAATATAAAAAAAAATTAATTATTATTTACATAACCCCTGATGAATAGCATTTGTGTTAGTCAAAAGATTTACATTACATTTACTCAATAATAAGAAAAAGTACTTCTCAATTGTTGATTGATAGTAATGTAAGTAAACTTTAATACAAGACAAATTTTACTCGCAGGAAATAGATTCAATATTTAATCACAGAGGTATGCTCGTGATATACTCAACCAAAGACTGAAAATAGTTTTTTTAAAAAAGTGTTGAAAGAAATACATTAAAAATTGAGTTGAATGAAGATATATAATGTTCTTTATATAAATATAAACTACAACATGACCAAGAAAATCTAAGGATCCCAGTTATATTCCTCAATTTCAGCCACGTCCAAATTTAACTTAGATCATCATTATATATAGATATTAACACATCATTCTATGAAGGAAAGCACACGTAGCCACAATGGTTGATGGTGCAATCAATATATATAGATATTAATCTCATCATAAATTCACAATTAATTCTATAATTAAATTAAGAAAAATGGTATTCTACTGATAATTCTCTCTACAATGGCGTAGTTAACAGAAGAGATGATGAGTTGCTACAAAGACATGTTTGTTTGGCTGGCACGCATGCAAAGGTGCCATGGGTCATTAAATTCAAACATGTGGTATTTATTCACATCTGCAGACACAATACCTACTCGTCACTGTTATATATGCTCATGGTATTGGTACCGCATACACATGAAAGCAACAAATTAATAACTGCGTGTTTCAATGTTGGTTCAAGAATTTTAAAAAAATTAATTTTAAAATATTAATAGTCATTTTTTATTTATAAAATTAAAATTTCATACCTTTTAAAAAAGAAATTAAACCTCTTATTACTTGAATTATTTTAAATTGATAAAAAAGTTTAAAATTGTTTCTTGAAAAAATAATTATAAAAAAAATGCACTTAGGGTGTGATTGGGTATAATGGTAATTTAATAAGTTTTTTCTATACGGGAGTTTGTCATAAATTTGATTATTAGGGTTTATTAGTACACGTTAAAAAGAATTTATAAGGACTTATTTAGACATTTTTTTATCATTTAATAATTTTTTATATATTTATTAAATTATTTTATATTATCTTTATTATTATGTATGTCAAATTTTACATAATTTATTATTTGTATATATGTTATTCAAAATTTGATATTCATTTATATTTTAAAATTATATTACATGTTAAAATAAAATAATATGATAAAATATATTAATTCTATTTTTATATGAAATTTGATAAAGTTATTATATTTGATAAAAATCTTCAAATCTATAATTAGATTAATTAATTTCATATTTTATAAGAAGTTATAAATATTGTAAGTGTATAAGTTTTTACATATAGTATCAATGATTAGTTTTTAAATTTTTGAAAGTGAATTAGATCTAAATTTTTAATATGATATACTACTTATAAAACTTTGGATTACTCTCTCCATTTGAGGTTCTGAGAATAAATAAGGTTTAATTTTTTAATAGTTAAATTATAAATTTAGTTTTAATATTTATTTATTTTTTACTAGTTAAGGGGGCTAAAAACTCAGACACAAAAACACAAATTAGTGATCTAAAGAGACCACTTTCTAGAGAATCAAGACAAAGGAAAGGGAGGAGGGAAGATGAAGCAAAGAAAATACATAGAGATAACAAAGAATTATCTAGGCCTAATTTGCTAAATGGTCTTCACTTTGATTTGCATCCTGATAAACATGACTAAATCTAACGAATTGAATAGGCTGAATTGCCTTACTAATTCTATCAATAAGATTATACAGAAGGATGAGTAACATTTTGAACATTGAAGATGAGAGCTAAAGCTTCCTTAGCATTGCTCTCAATCCAGATTATATTAATGCTATACTGAAAAACAAGCTCCAGCCCAATCAAAACACTACAGAGATCAACTTCCACAGGAAAAGGTTCTCTTCTAGCTAAAACCAGCAATGAAAAGGCCTTGAACATTTCTGATTAGACCCCACAAACACTAGTATTACTAGACAGAGACACAGCCCATCCACATTATTGCAACCTTGATCCTTAATCTAGTTAAAATATATTTTTATTTCTTATAGTTAATCTTTATTTATATAGTAATCCATTAAAATTGCATTTGCATAAAAAGAGATTGACTAAAAATGCATGTGACGTTGATTTCGTCGGCAGGCACAGTGGGGACAGCTGAGACAATTTGGGGTACTTTTCACATGCAAAGGATAATGACCCTTTGCTCTTCCACCCAGACAACCCTTTGCAATATCTTTTTCCACTTTTCAAACACATGCTATGTGAGTTAAGAAAGCGTATGGAGGTCACAATTGGGAATAAGAAAGGGTATTGGAATGATGTTAATTATTATGTGACGCTCCTTTGTAACTTATCAATACTTTATTGTGGAAAATAAGAAGACAGATATAAATTACAGTGTAATGGACAGATACAAATGGATTGAATTAACTTGTATGACTTATAAAATTTAAGTTTAATTTAATTTTGATTTTAACACTTTAATTTAATTTATATATTTAAGACATTATATTTTTAATTATTAATTCGACATCTTTTTTAAATTTGACTATTTAAAAGTTTAACTTCTAATGAAGCTTTTAAATAGATAAGAAAAAATATATTTAAATAAGTTAATAGGTTTTAAATTTCTGAGTTAATAAGTTTAAACTTTTAAACAAATGACTTATCACAGCTTTGACAATATCCAAGTTAATGTGTGACTTATGTTCACGAATTTATAGTACTTACTATTTTTCTTTTTTTGATCAATATCAGTAATACAGTTAATTCTATGATAAACCTAATTCAAATTATAGAGCTATGACATAATCAAATCTAAATAAATAAAATGTTAAATTATTTTTCTTTTATTTTTTTTATTTTTAGTCAAAATTTTATTATAATAAATCTTTTTAACAAATCATAAGATTTTATACTACTATAAGAGAGAAAGTGACGAGTCATTTACATTTTGTATCTCTAGAAACATTTATATAGAAAGAAAAAACAAAAAACACAACTTTTATGTAATTCAACATTTTTTACTTATATCCATAAACTCTTAATATAATTTTATAATTTTTTATTAGATTAAACTATAAATTTTTTTACCTACAATTTTTAGACTAATAAAAATGTAAACTCTCACCTTTACAATTTTAAAAAAAATTACAATTTCTAACTTAATATAAGTTATCAAAGCTTCCACTGCATTTAAAATATTATATGTTTATGTTGTAGTGAATAACTATAAAATAAATTTTAATATTTATATTTTTCTTTCATATAAACTTTAATAAATAATGCACTTTAATCCAACGGTTCTAAACTTTTGGTTGAAAGTTATTCTTGAACCATCTCTTTTTATTTTGTAAGTTTTATCCATCACTAAAAAAAATTGTTATTTACTCAAATAAAAATTTTCAGATGTTAGGACATCCTTTATTAATATAATTTTGTCCAATAAAAATTAAATTGTAAGTAAATACTTTAAAGATTTATAATAAAAATATAATATATTATACAAAAATTAATTTTATTAATAAAAATATTAATATACAATATTAATATATTAAATATTATCATAATATATATATTTTTTGTTAGTATAAATCTTCAAAACATACTAACAATTTATTTTTATTTCAACAATTGATAAATTTTATTTGCCGACAATTATTTTTGTATTGTGTATTGTTTAATGAAATGATTTTATCTAATTGAATAATAAACATTTGTAGTATAATAAAATTAATTCTCTTAATAAGATTTTTTTTCATACACAAAGAATCAAATTCTTGATAAGAATTATTTACGCTTGAAGAACAGTTTTAAGTCTTATGATAAGACTTAATTTTTATATTTAAAAAACATTTTAAAAATCTTTAACAAAACTTAAATTTAAATTCGATTCTTTGTTGCATTTAAATAGAAAATGC